TCCACCGCCGCCTGGAGTTGGATTTTTCCCTGCTCTTCTCCTTTGCGGACATCTTCACCTTCCTCAGGTTTATTTTCTTCCTCCAGGAGGCGACGTCACAGACTCCCACGGTCACATCACCCGGCAGAAGAGAGGGTTCTGGAGGGGCCAAGCAGCTGGGGCGCCGCTCACTGGAGCCGAGGTCAGGGAAAGGGATGGAGCTGAAGTCCCAGCGCGAGGATCTAGAGGTGGAGCTATAATGCAATTCTTTGTCCGAGTCCCCGAGGACATCCGTCGTCCACCAGGTCCTTCCGCTGCCTTCATCTGCTGCACTTGTCGTGGCAGTCTGGACGTCTGTAGTCTCTGGAGACGCAGCCAGTTTTTTATCCTCCTCACCTTCTAGGCAGCATTTATCCTCTTCCATTTTCTCAGAGGTGGGTTCCTCTTTCAACTTAGTATAACTACGGAAAGAACAAAAAATATTAGTGTATCTATCTGGTGTACTGGAAAACTCATCTGCATTATACACCCACTGAAAAAAAACATCTATTCAAACAGAATTTTAAAAAAAACTGAGTTGAACTAAGTAGTCTAGTCAATTAATCAATAAGTTCAGTGCCAGAAAATTAACCAGCAATTATGATAATCAGTCGCCTGCATGAAAGATTTCAGACGCATATCAATGAAGAATTTAAATAAAGAACAACATACATTATTATCAGAAAAAGAGAAAATGAAGAGGTGTATTATTGTGACCAGCAGAGAGCAGCATAGAGCTGCCAATACTTGGTTTTCATAGAGAGGTTTGAGGGAGCTATATACTGGTTTCTTGCTTTCTTTTTGTTGTTGAACAGTGAAAACTAATAGTTCTTATAATAAAATTATTTTTCTCTATTGAGCAGTAAGTGATTAGTAAAATTAAGTTTTTCTCCAAATCCCTCCTTGGACTAAATCCTTAACACAGAATTTATATATTGTATCTGTACATCAACCAGCTCTGACACATCATTGCATGAACTCCACACTGCTCTGTGGTATCAGGCACCAAGAGATTCGCAGTAAATTCTTTAAGTCCTGGAAGTTGCGAGGTGGAGCCTCCGTAGACCGGACTTGTTTCCCGAAGATTGGCTTGATCAGACTGAGATCTGGGGCGTACGTGGTCTGCAGCAATATTTATGTATGTGCTTCAAAACAACATCCATGTGAACCCGTGGACCCAAGGTTTCCCAGCAGAACATCACGCTGCCTCCAACGCCTTCTTCACACAGGGGATCCTGCGGCTAACTGCGGACAGTTCTGACACTGACATGCCCATTAGGTGCTTTTGTCAGTGGTCAATGGGCACTCTGACCCATCTGTAGTTTGTGCTACAGCAGATTGGACCACATGGACCAGCCTTCGCTCCACAAGTGCACCAATGAGGGCGTCCATGACTCTGTCCCTGGTTCACTGTTTGTCCTTCTTTAGACCACTTTTCGTAGGCACTTACCACTGCATACCATTCTGCTGATGGTCTGATGCAGTCATCACAATCTGAACCTCATCAAAGTCACTCAGATAATTACAATGCCCATTTTGCCTGATTCCAACATATCGATTTCAAGGCAGTTGGCTTCACCTGCCGTTAATGTTGTGGCTGATCGGTGTACATACCGTGCAGTAAATAAATAAAAGTAGCAGCTCTGTTTACCTGCATGTTGGTGTGGGGCTGGGGCTGCGTTTCCTCTTAAGTTGTCTCCCTGCTCGGTCACGTGACTGAGGCAGGTTCAGCTGTCTGGCGTAGGAAGAAGGCTCACAACTGCAAGAGGTCAAACACATTCAGCTGATGTCAAACCTTATCCAAAACACTCAGTTACTAAGGATTTATTTGGGCAAGAGTATTTCTCTGAACTAAAGAGGGCTTGTTTTAATTGGTCATAGTAGGAAAAGCACAGGTGTAATGAATAAAATCCATTCCGCTGCTTCACTTTCAGGAACCTGGTGTTCACAATCACAGTATTTTGGCTTAATGGATCACTTGAACAACAAAGTCATTGTTAATACTATTGATGCACCTGTGCTTCCCCTTCAATTACAAGTGAAAAGGATTATTCGAATCACTACCTAAGCTAAACATTTATTTCTAACCACCCTGATGTGAAAAGAATCTCACTGGCAACTTAGATGCGGCTCATTTACAGAACTTTGGTGTCCATTCAAGTGATGGTTTATTCTCTGCACTAATTCGATGACAATGGTGTGACACATTTATTCACTGCTCTTCCCAGTAACTCTTTGTGTATTTACCACTGTGCTGCTGTCGTCATCATATGAGGTTTAAATTGACGCAATATAGATGCAATTCAAGCATGTACTTCTAGTTCGAATTCAAGGGCTTTAACAAAAATATTGCGTTAACCTCTTAGGAATTACAGCTACTTTTTACACAGTCCCTCCATTTTCACAGACTCAAAAGTAATGGGACAAACTGACATAATTTAAATATACAAATCATTCTGAACACTTGAATGTAAATCGTTTGCAGTCAATGACTCCCTGAAATCTGGAATGGGCGTCATCATCTGTTGAACTTCCTCTATTGAGATACTCTGCCAGGCCTTTACTGCATCTGCCTTCAGAAGCTGCTTGTTTGTGGGTCTTTCTGCTTTCAGATTTGTCTTCAGAAATGAAAAGCTGCTCAGTTGGGTTGAGGTCAGGTAACTTACTTGGCTAATTCTTTGCCTTAAGTGTTGGGTTGCCTCCTGGAATATTTTGGGTCATTATCACCTGTCCTACTTCTATCGACAGTCACATCGTCATCAGTAAACACGATGCCTGTGTCATAATATTATCCCCATCATGATGATGTGGTGTACTTTAGATTAATGAACTTTTCCTTTCTTTCTCCATACTATTCTTTCTTTATGACAAATTGTTGTTTTGGCCACTCTCAAAGTTTCTGCTCTCTCTCTCTTAAAAGTGTTTTGTTTGGTCTACTTCACTTGCATTGAAACCTCTAGGATTGCATCTTGAGAGTTCCAATGAACAGCTACCAAATGCAATTCAACACCTGGAATCAACTCCAGACCTTTTATCTATTTAATTTGCCATGACAAAACAAGGACACCATGAACCGGCTTATCATTCACTTATTCACCTGCTTTTGAGCCTATGAAAATGAAGGGACTATGAAAAATGTAATTTCTAAACACTTAATGCAAAATTTTTGTTAAACTCTTTGAATTAAATCTGAAAGTCTACACTTCAATCACACCTTGACTGCTTCATTTAAAACCCACTATGGTTGCACATCCAGGCACAATTCTACAATTCAAAATCTGTGACAGTACAAATACTTTAGGGCACAACTGTATAGTTTTAGTCATTTTAATCCTGTCTGAATGAGACATTAAAGTTCTTCTACCTGGGATCAAATCTGTGCACGACATAGCCAAGTCTCTTCAAATGTCCAAACACCTTTGTGATGAAACAGAGTTGTTAGACCAGTTTAGTACCGTGTTCCACATTCAGAATATGCACTGGACAGTTAGTTGCACCTGATATTGTTGGAGGCTCACTGTGGTTGAGGACAGAAATCTCTCAAACCCATCCTGAATGGAAAGCGGCAGGTCCTTGTAAAACACCTGCAGGTTTCCCTGTTCACATACATACATTCACACTCAGAGATGTCACATATGTCAATAGTTTTCGAATCACATGTGTTGCAGCATGACTCCCTAACTGTTCAATAAATACAGTTGAATGAACTGAATTAATGAAGATTACTAAGCCACACCCTGACCAACAGGTTTCATCTGCCACTCACACACTCCATCAGGTAGAGAGCCTCTTCAGGAAGGACATACTGTTTGCCATTTGCAGAAAAGCCCATCGTCTGCCAGAACTTTCCCTGAAGAAAATTAAAATTTATGAGATATGCCAAACATTCTCTAACAAGAACGGATGGAGGAAGCAGAACTGAAGCCATCAGCTTGTCGCCGAGTGTGTCGTGACAGTACTCACAGCTGGAGACTGAAGCTCCACAATCTGGTCACTTGGAATCCATATGGCCTTCACCAGGTTTCCTCTGCAGTAAAATAGTATATTAATATACATGCTTTACTTTATTGGCAAAGCATACAATAAAATACAAAAAAAAAAAACATACTTTCGGCACCCAAGTGTGGAAAATGTCCACAACAAGCCAACAAACACAGAGCCCTGACACATTATCACCTTCTACAGATATTATGACAAACAGGGTTGTAAATGGTGGTGTAACATTAGAAGGTGTTTGAGGTGGTTTTACTGACAATATTCACACTCCTTTTAGATCCGGTTTGCTAAATGGTCAACTTTCTTTAATGGCTAGTTGTTAACTTTGTCTGCGGTCTGGCTGAGAGCTCATTTTATGAGACAGCTGCTGGAAACAGGGTTGATGAGAGCGCTGAGGGCGTGCTATAAAACCAAAACTATGAGCTCACACAGGTAACAACTTTCTAAAGCTAAAGGACTTAATGATGATTCTTCATTCTGTCTCATCTTAAGTGAGAACCAGAGCTTTAAAGTGTCCTACTTTCATGGATAAGAATGTCATATCTGCAAAAATCGCGTTGTTGAAAGGTTATTCACTTCAACAAACAAAATTTTACGAATGAAAGTCTTCAAGAATGTAAATGACACATAAATGTTTGCATAGTCTGTAAAATGCATGACCACTTTTCATGTATTTTACTGGATTTAAAATCTGTTTACAGAAATGTAGAAGACATGCTGAAGACACCTAATACTATCTATGATAGTGCATGTTTAGCGACCTTCATTTTTGTACAAAACTACAAAATAATGATGTTGTAATACCGTGGCTGCTTTGGAATCTCTCCCTTGACNAAAAGCCATGTGTTTTCTCCTTCACTGCCTACATTTAGAAATGTTAATGCCCAGGTGACTATTTATTATTAAAAGCTCCATCACATTAAGATCTAAGAGCATGCACTGGCTGATTAAACACACAGCATCTAAGGCAGTCCATTAAATCGAAATCAAAACCCCCCTTGAATCCAGTTGACATAAACAACTACCAGAAACACCACAACAGTCACAAAATATGCGATAAAGAAAATTAAGTCTATGATGCTAGCCAGAACTTTGCAGAATCCAGACTGTCTCTTCTCATTCTTCTTTCCACCGGCTTCTAATCGAGCTGTCTTCAGTTCGTCCAGGATTCGTTTCAGCAGGTCACGGACGCCAGGCCAATCCAAAGGACTGGAACTCTTCTCAGGTGTCACCGGGCTTTTCTCTTCATCTCCAGCAGGCTCTGAATGGCAAACAGGGAAGATTGTTTTTACAGCAGATGCTGCTTTCAGGGAATCCCCCTGTGCACTACCTGAGCAGACAGAAACAGAATTAAGCGATTAAAAGCCAGATACAGTTAGAATAGTGGACTGTTTCCTGACTGTGTGTGCCAGAAAAATAAGTCATTGTTTAATACCACATTAACCAGTGTTTCTTTATCAATAATGCTCTGTTGATGTGACCTGTTGTGAGAGAATTATCACCTCGCTCTTCGGTTCAGCTTTGGTTCACTGCCTTCCACAGATGGAGAAAGCATTCACATGCTTTAGTTCAGCCAGCGTACGAATACATCAGTGTAAATATGCTCCACTTGAAGTGAAAGTTCTGCATGAAAAATCTTACTTATGTACAAATACAGTAGCAGCAAAATGTAGTGAAAGTATTTCGGTATTGGTTTGTTCCCTCTGACTGGTACATTCTTATAGATGATTAATCCTGAAGCATGTTACTGTTGTAGTTGCTGCAGGTGGAGCTTTACATCCAGTTTTATACACAGCAGAGACAGCAGATAAATCTAAAGAAAGAAGAAATAACAAGAAGCCCCTTCTTCTAAAACTTCTTCTGGTGTAATCCCTACCTAAATGTTGTATTTTAAAAACTTGTTATATTATCCATTGTGTGAAATTTTCATCTTAAGGTCAAGTACAAGTATCCCAAGTGAACTACCTGAGTAAATGTACTCAGTTTCTTTCCACCACCGCCCTCTTCACTCTTGTTAAGCTTGTTTCTAGCTACAATTCTACAATTTCATTTAGCAGACGCTTCTATCCAAAGCAACGTACATCTGAGAGCGGATACAACACAAGCAAGGAGCTAGTCAGGAGAGAACAATCTGGATAAGTGTCAAAGAACAAGTTCAAGTGTGATAGGGCGTTGATGCCAATAGCAGGCTGTGTGGGAGGTAATAGGAAATATTTTTTGTTTGTTTGGCAACCTGTTCCACCACCAGGGAACCACAGAGGAGAAGAGTCTGGCTATCAACCTCGGGCCTTTTTGCGGTGGTTGTATCAGGTGGCTTTTGGTGGTCAGAGTTTTGAATTGGATGCAGGCAGCAACTGGAAGCCAGTGAAGCGATCTGAACCGTGGGGTGACATGTGTCCTTTTTGGTTGGTTGAAAACTAGACGTGCTGCTGCATTGTGGATCATCTGCAGAGGTTTGACTGTGGATGCAGGGAGACCTGCCAGTAAGGAGTTGCAATAGTCAATGTGTGATATTATGAGAGCTTGTACCAGGAGTTGTGCTGCGTGTACAGACAGGAAAGGTCTGATGTTCTGAATGGACACCACCGAGCAACAGAGGCCACATGAGCCTTGAAGGTTAGTTGGTCATCAATCATGACACCCAAGTTTCTGGCAGATTTTGTGGGTTTGAGTTGGATTGAATCAAGCTTGATGTTGATTTCTTGTTGTAGAGAGGGACTGGCTGGGATGACAAGGTGCTCAGTCTGCAGCAGGCGGTGAAAGCACTCTACCTGCTCAGCACGAAAGCTCAGAGGATCTTTGGAGTGTTCATGGCGACCAAACAAAGCTAAATGGAGAGTTCATATTGGTCTTAAATTCAACATTTGTCCAGAAATAATTGGTTATAGCTAACCCAATAGCTTAACACAGTTGAAATTACTATTCCTTACTGAAGGTTTGCTGCCAAATTCTATCATTAATAGCATGTTAAACTATGGAAAGGAGTGAAAGAGGTTGTTTAATGTATAAAAAACAAAAGCATATTGTTTATGTATTAATACCATAACCTTGACATCTAATTGGCAAACAAGAAAATGCTAATAATGTCCACTCATAAGGAATCTATTGAATCTATTGCCTTCCATCTGTTTTCAAGAAAGAAAAAAAAACAACATACCTTTGCGAAAGCCTACTTCCAGCTGAATATCCTCTTGAGCATCTACAGAGCTTTGAGCGTCTTTACCACAATGATCACCAAAGTGGCTCAAGAAGCTCACCAGCATGGCCTCCAGGACGCTGATCCCCACCAGGGCGAAGATCGCAACACAGTAGGAAGCTGGAATAGAGACATTACAGGTGATGTTGCTGAAACCAGTCAACTCTGTGCTGCGTGAGGCCTGTGTGGCTGCTCACCGATCCATGGCAGGCAGTCTTCGGTGGACGGCAGCATGTCCTGAAGAATCAGCAGTAAGACGGAGATGGACAGTAGTATCGTCACTTTGAAGCTCAGCTTTTCGCCACTGGATGCGCTGATGAAGAAAGAAGCCAAATCCAGCCCCAGTAAATAGGCCAGGGGGATGATAAAGTTGACTAGATAAAGCAGTGGTTTCCTCTCCAGTGTGATCTGTGAAAAAAGTCTGATTAATTAGAGACGAGCAGAGGTGGAGAACGGGGAAACAAAACACTACCAGAATGCCATTACAAATATTTTCTAACCATGTATATGAGGTAGCTTGGGTATTCATTCCCCGTGTTACTTTGGTCTCGGACAACTTCCATGTTTCTAAGCGTCCATTCTCCCTTTGTGATCATCATCTGGTTAGAGATTGCAGTAAGTACCGTGTCATCGGTTAATGTTCCAAGTCTCATAGTTCTTGCTATGCAGAAAATTAAAGAAAAAAAAAGTATTAAAGAATAACATCAATTGTTCTGAAGCCATTCTGCATGTTGAAAGACATCAACCTGCAGTTATTCTGATGTAATCTGATGTTCTGATGTTTACCGTCAAAGCTCATGGATGAAAATGTAATGTTACAGTGTTGCGTATCAAAAGGGAAATTTAGGAGATTGAGCTGGCAGGTGTAGGTAAGTCGTTGGAGGGCCCTCGAAAACACCCAGCCGCTGGAATTCAGTGTGAGAAGTGGACCGTTGTGAATACTCCCAGTGTCAGAAGCACTGAGGAGACACAAGAAGACACAAGAATTTTTCTATGAAGGGCTAGCCATAGAGATACAAACATTTTATCATTACATTTTTGAAAGCCTAACAAGAATTATGTGCCTGTTAAGGTTCATTTTGGGCCGATAAGTCATTTTACAGCAATGTCATCTGATTCAGCATCCCAAGTCTAAACTAACCACACTATTATAATCCATCCATTATCTATACACCGCTTAATCCTCACTAGGGTCGCGGGGGGGCTGGAGCCTATCCCAGCCGACTTAGGGCAAAGACAGGGGACACCCTGGACAGGTCACCAGTCTATCACAGGGCCACACTTAGAGACAGACCCACACTATTATAATCTATAATAATATTTAGCACTGAATTGTGTGTGAAAATAATTGTTTTGTTCAGATCCCCTGTTCAGATTTCACATTTCTGTCACAGCTTTTGTTTTACTTTGAGAATAATAACTAGGAATGTTTAAAAATCTAAGTAAAAACACATTTTTCACTATTCTTAGCAGAAATGTTATCCTAAATACATATGTATATAAGTTGCAACTGAGGTTTCCAATTACTTAATTCAGAAATCATAAATTTTAAGTGTTATGCAGGTTTAGTCTTATAAGAGCCAGTCTGGTTCCTGTTAAGTTATCAATCAGGCTTTTAGCTTCATGGCCAGCTTTGGAATCTATAAACAAGGTATAAACAAATTGAACAAAAACCAGTGAAATTGCAAAATGATAATTTAACGTTGGCTGCACCTAATGCTTTAATTTCAGCTTCTGCCAAAACATTTCTATTGCTTTGTGCTACAGTGATGCTTCCATTTTATGCTTTAAAACAGTAAGGCTGTCCTGTGGAGTTTTGGACTGCTACTAATGATTTGGAGCAAAGGTTTTGGAATTTGGATGTGTTTTTATGACCGTGCATTCAAATGTAAATTTTCTAGAAGTGTCACGCATCCTTTTATAGATATATCAGCAATATTCAGGCAGTACATTTTAAAGGTTTTAACTTTTGTGCTGTGGGTTTAGATGAAAATTCAAGTTTGATTGTTCAGTATATTAAACACCAGTTTCAATGAGATCAGACTGCAGCTGTGTCATGAATAATACATACTCTTGTTGGATGACTATATCTGGGATCCAGAGCATCGACCTCGGAATGGACACGTAGTTTATCCCACAGAAGTCTGAAGCATTCCAAGTTAGGAATTCATTTGTCCAGTACTGGGAAAAGGAAAAGAAAAACAAAATGAGGACTCGGTTGATGAGTGAGCATGAAAAGATAATGATTCTGCTTTTAATGTACTCGTCTTACCATACTAACCCAGAGGTGATTTGTGACAGTTTGAGACTTCTCATCCTACAGAGAAGCACCAGAGGTGTGATCAGTATTTAGCCAAATTACAAAAAAAAGACAGATTTCCTCACTTATACCTGCAGCTATTTATCAATGCAGATACCTTTGGATTTATTTCACCAGAGTTTCAGATACCTGTCTCTGAGATCATGCTGCGTCCATACAACAGTAGTGAACACAAGTTAGGAATCTTTAGTCAAATGTATTGAAAGTATAAACAGTATATTTTATCCTGCAGAATAGCTCATTTTGAATGAAGCCTGCAAAGTGCAGTGTAATTAAAAGATTAATTCTTTGTACAAATCTCTGTACAAAAATAATACTTGTACCTATAAAAGAACAAAATGTGAAGTTAATGGAACAAATGCTGGAGCAGATAAAAATGTGTCAGCATGTTTTATGAGTGTTTTTTTTGTCACAGATGGAAATTTAAGTGGTGAAGCTGAACAAAAGACACTTGTCTTCTACTGCTGTGCAGCTTGAGGGGCTGCAAAGCTGCTCCGACCCGATTACAAGGAAGTGCATGACTTAAAGAGTCTAAAGCAGGCGTATAAGTGGCATCCATGGACTAGACTTGCAGGTTAAAATTTCTCTAACAGATTATAGTAAGAGTCACATAAACAAGGCCATTGTAGAAGGTCACCCTTCAAGGCCTTTTCCAAGTTCCAAAGTAAAAGCATGGGTGATGGGTGATTTAATAAGTATCCCTAACCTGTTAACAGAACTGCACGTATTTCACTTGTCCTCTTTTTGTTGACATGTGCCGCCTTCCATTGTTGGCAAGAAGGTTATGTCCATTTTTTTAATGTATGAAGTGCTGCAGAATTCATTCAACATCCTCTTCCAAACTTCCAAGCAACCAAACATACTGTAATAATATAATAGCTCAGTAGGTTCCCTTTTATTCATGAAACGGCGTGTGTTGTTCCCTAATACCGACAATCTGTGTGTTGGTATGTACTGAACTAGCGTGCCATTAATACAAACATTTACACTGTAAATGTGGGTTAATTACAATCTACTCTGCAGGCTGTAATTACCATAAATTTCTCTTCTTTTTTTTGTTGCTAGTATTCATGTGTTGAAACGTAAACAGTATTCTAGCGGTAGGTGGCTGAAGTGGAAGTGATTTGAGCTGCTGCCACAGTCTATGCCCGCAGGTATTTTAACATAGTTTGACTTTATTGCTCCTTTAAGTACATAGTGACCTCATATAAATCGCAGAAACGGTTTGCACAGCTTCAACCTGAGCAGGTCTAATCAGCCATAACACCTGAAATTACCCGTGTGGGTCTGCAGGACCTTGTAGCTAATAAACATCAGATTTTATTGGTTGATCATGCACTCATTTGGCGGTTTATATGGCGCACCTGGCTAAAGCTAGTGTAGTCCAATGCAGCTTTCCTGTGATAAATCTTTAATTCATGAAGGTTATAATGTTTAGTTGTTGTTGAAACTGTCGATTCTGCTGTACAGTTATTTTGAAGGATGCAGTTTGTGGTGCCATTGAAGTGCAGTCTATTATACAGAGAGCTACTTAAGCCTCCCCTCACTGAAATAAATAGACTACACAAACTAATAGAAACGACTGTCTACACACGTACAATGCTGTACAATTTATTGCAGGAGAGTAGCATTAGTTTAAACTAGGTGTATCTAATAAATGCAACTGCGAGGGTGTTTTGCATTTAAATCAAAGTAACTATTGACCAGCTGTCGGATAAATTCAATGGAAATTTCAGTTGTGTTTAATTAATCGAATACTCAAATAAATGCGATTATTTCCATCGCAGCATAAAACCAAAACTATCACTTGATACCACGACGAATAAGTTCAAAAATGCTTCCAAAATAATCATGCATCGAGCGCAATCCATTCACAGGAGACCATAAAGACACTTACCACATCCAAAATACCAAACAACAATATGTCCAGTTGAACGTGGGTGAATGTGGTCCAGTTTTTCACAGGTCGCATGAGACTTTGAATGTTACTTGATCCAGTCAGGTTGAGATGATCCAGTAGACTGTAGTAGGAGCAGTCTGTAGTCGGATCAGTGGAAACACTTGCACTTGCTGGGAAGAAGAAGAACTCTTTATAAACAGGAAAACGTGTGATCATAAACCTTAGGAACAGATACAACATGAGCTTTAACACATTTCCAAACCAAATGATGTGTTATAATCAAAGTTTAATGCAATAACTCACCAAATAAAGGGAGAAAAACTAGAGCCGTTAGAGAAGCCATGGCTGTTTGCCTTCAGCTCAGCCTGAGGAAACCCTTTTAACCTGCTTATATAAACAGAACAATACAAAAGTGCAGATGAGGCGTCATAGGATGAAATAAACAAACTACTAAAATGTAAAGAAGCTCCTGTTTGTTCCTGTGTATCCAGAGCAAGTCATACGACGCAAGTCAATCATACAGGTCTATTGTTGGCCCGCAGCTGAGGCAAAAAGTCAACATGAGGAGATCTCAGTGTGGCATCAGGTGGGAGTGGAGAAGTTATCGATGTGCGCTGTTCTCAATGCGTAGAACACCTGCGGTCAACAAAAACTACATGGAACTAGTTTTAACTTTAAAATCCTAAAATGCACTAAAAAGTAAGTCAATTTGCTTAATGTGAATGTTAGGGAAATGCAAAGTTGTGGTCACTGCAGAAATATTTTACAAAATTCAGGTAAAGTGTACTTGTGTAAGACAGAAAGCTTCAGAGCACCTGTACAGCGATCTGTGGCGAGATTGTTTAACCAACTGCAGAATAAATTTTCAGTCTCATTGCACTGATTTTTCAAAATCATTCTTATTCGCCTGAGACTCTGTTCACACCTGGTTTTGAAATGTGTTTCAGGGATCGAAGTGCAAATTTTTATTCATACCTTCATGACTTCTGCTAGAAGGTTAAAAGGTGCCGCACACACTTACTACTTCAATCTACTGACCTCCTGAATACTTTCTTGATTAATCAATCAGTTTTTTGGGCTATAAAATGTGAATAAATAGTAAAAACAACAAAAAAAAACTAACCCTAACCCTAACCTTTGTTTGAAGGAGACTGCATTAAGTTATTACAGATTCTGAATCAATCACACAATGAAAAACAACAGAGAAAATTTCTTTTATTTTAATTCCTGAGATATTGTCCCTCAAACATAGTCTCAAATCTTAATTTCATCTGAGAAAGTATTTGATATATCAAGCTAAAATTTTAAAAAATATATCTTTAAAAATGTCCACATTATATTCTAGAAAAATGCAGGCAAATCAGAGATGATCAAGCAGAAACTGCTTTAAAAATGCAATGATTTGATATTGAATTACCCCAAACTAGACTGTAGAAATTGTAAATGTGTGTATGTAGAAATGGTAACTCAATCAGACATTTCATGCATCAGCACATTACCCCACATCCAAAGACTCGAATTGAAATGAACATTAGAAGTGTTGTGTAATTTTAAAATTAAGAATATAGTTAGTTTGGCCGTCACAAAATCAGATTTTTATTTCACAATTATCAGACAAAAGAAATAAAAACTTTATGAAAATAATGCTTTTAGTCAACATCTTTTTAAAAGGTTTTATTGTGTTTTTGATCTCTTTTTGACAAAAAAATTTTCATCAAAATACAAATGTACGGAGAAGGAGTCTGTAAACATAACTGTACTGTATGTTGTGCCGAAGTCGGAGTGTCAACCTGATAGCAAGAAGCGCTGAATTATTTAAAGTATTCTTGTATGTGTATTAATCACATGAAATCAATATATCATTAAAAAATATAACGGTAATATTTATAACGGTATACTGTCACACCCCTAGTGCCAAAAGTGCATCCCCCAGCTCACTGCATGACAAACTATTGATCAACTGGAAGAAATAAAGAATAAAATATACAGCATCATTAACTCTGCCTAAATCTGTAATATTTTGCGCAACATTTTTTTTCTCAAACCTTTTTTGCAAATAAAGTTTTACAAAACTATGTAAATATGGAAACAGCTGGTGTTCCTGGGTCTTTACTTGCTTATGTGACTTTGTTTTCTACTGCCATACCAACAATTTATTTGCCACGAGGATTTTTAAAGTCTTCAACCATCACTTATTGCAGAAAATAATGATGCTGATGATGATCTGTTGGTCCCACAGATAAAAGAAAAAAAATGCAAAACGAAAGCTGATAAAATCACTTTTTCCAATAATAGCTTTGGCACTAAATCTACCCGTCCACTGTAAATCACTGGTCAGGCACATAAAAGAGCTTTTATAAATGTATGTAAAAGTCCTAGATAAACGTGTCTCAGGGGAACACATCAGTGGGTAGCTGGAAGTCTTTGAAGGTGTAGAAGGATATGTCTCCGTGGTCCACCACAGCAAAGACCACTGGGACGTCTCCACTCTGGAAAGCCAGCAGTTTGAGAACTCGCAGGTCAGGCACAGGGCCGTCGAAACTGAAACACAGAAGAGAAGCAATCAAGTTGTGCCGTCCGCTTCGTGTACACATAAACCAGTGTACTCTACCGAAAATCAAACCACAACCTGGAAGAAGAAAATTAAACAACCACAGAATTTGCTCCTTTATTGTTTTTGTTTCGAAATTAGATTGTTGTCAGACTACACAAGCAAACTGAAGATACCAGAAGTTGTAAAGAAATCCCCTGAAAGCTTTCAAGAGATCCTTCATTCACAAGAATGTGACAGACAACTTGAACAGAGACCTCTGGTCTCAGCAGTCGCAGAAGCATCAACATAATCAATAGTTTAATTATTTAATTGCGGCCCTGTGTAAGTCATGAAAAGAGCAATGACACAAAAGGCCCATTCACCTCTAATCACTGGGACATTTATTTAATTTGAATCAGATGTCTGCTGGTTTATTGTAAGTCAACCCTGAGTAAACACTTTCTCTTGTAGTTTGTGTGGTTGTTTACCTGCACACACACATGCGGGAGTACGGTTTCCCCGGGTTGCTCTTCTTGAAGTCTGCCACCGTGTCGGGCTGGTAAACATTGAAACAAATCCTCCACTCATCGGAACCTTTCAACCTGAGCAGACAAAGGACGAGGTCTTCAATATCTCCTGAATGAAGCGCACTCTATCACAGCACAATACACGGCCGCCCTCGGTGCACGACGGCACACTGAGGCGGTGACAAACAGCGGTAGCCGCAGCCTGTCGCTCCTTTGTATCGGAGTCTTTATGGGTTGGTAAATTAAAGATCATAAACTGTGACAGCAGTGACGCGAGCTCGGTTCATGTAAAGTCCACATTCTGATTTATTTTCCTCAGAGTTGACGTCCTCTTATCGCGGCAAACAGAAAGCGGCTGCATGAGGTCACGTACGTGGTTATATAAACTCAGGGACAAACCTGCATGTGTCCTCTGGATGAATGGATAATTGTTACTAATTATATGACAAAAAAAAAACACATCAAAAATCCATTAGAATTAATAGCAGATATTTTGGCTGAGTCAGCACAAATCTTGATATTGGAAGAAAAAAAAAAGGAACAACAAAAAGCAAACTATTTTTTTTCCCCAACAGTTTAGGAGGGTTTTTTATATTATTATAGCTGTAACATGCCTAAATATAAACCCCAACAGGAAGAAGTTTTATGTACATGTTGCAGACTGTATATACGTTTTGCGCTGTAATGATCATGTCTAAATAGACACCAGCGATTACAGGGCTGAGAAAAATCAGATTATACAAGTCTACATGTAGGAACCAGGTTATTGTAAAAATCAAAGTTTACAGCAGAATATCATCAGTGGCTTACTTATTCACATTTCTGCTAGAGCCATACCAATATATCCATCATATAGATCTATTACAGATATACTGGTATCAGTGTATTTGTGTGGCAATATTAAAACTTTACCAGAACTTAATGCAGAAAAAGACTATTTAAGTCATTTAGAAATGTTCATTACATAGTTTTGAGTGAAGTGGTGTCTTTGCGTTACAGTACTAATAAATATAGTATATTAAATACTTTGTAAAAGAAATTGACAGGGCTGTAGTGTCCAAATTAACTGGCTGATTGGTTGTTCGATATGCTCTCAATGGACCAACTTAATATTGTTAGTGTTACTTTCCTATAGCTACATCAACAGCTGCCAGATGAAGCCATTATTTTTGGCAGTGGGAGGAACAGACTACCTGTTAACACTACCGCGCTTTCACAGCTTTAAACTGGCCTAATCTAAATGAGACTGCAATCTTATTTATCATTTACTGAACGTTTATCTGGAGTCGGCTTCGAACTTACTGACACCATGTTAAAGAAGATGCCGGTGTAACTGCGTTTCGTTAAAACAGATGGACAAAAAGCAGAATGTAAACTTAAACCAACATAGCAGATCATCTAAAATCAGTAACTCGTCCGTGTTGTGTTTGCCAGTAGTTCTAGTGCCGGATCACCAGTCAATATAGTTGTACTTTCAGAACCATCTGAATATGGGCAGGTGCTCGCTGGTCTGCTCCAAGTCTGTCATTATTATTTCTTTATAAAAATGACCAGGTTAACCTAATTTTAAAAGCTGCAAGTACAAGCTTTTTGTGTTGATTTATAATCTATTTAGGCTAACAGGGCTAGCAGGTAGAGCGCACTCAGTGCACTGTGGCCCATTTAGTTCACTTTGAGATAACGTAGAGATTTTATTAGACAGACGGGGACTCAGCTATGGAACAATTACACTCAAATTGCATTTCAGTCCACTTCTGAATAAATTAATTCTGAATGAATTTTACAGGCTAAGAACCAAGTTATTCTAACTGATCAAATCTGAAAATAATTGACCTTTCTTTGTCTCCATCTTTCATGAGAAGCCTCTCACATAAGTGTGCATTAGCATGGGTGTGCACACACTTTCATGTTTGAAGACACACATTTATATAGACATACGCTAAAACACATGCATCAGTATTACATTATTTTATTTATCTGTTGTTTCATTTGTTTGCTTTTTTAAACTTTTGGTTGCTTCTTTGTTTATTTTTGTGGAATCATGACTTTTGCTTTTGCTAATAATTTAATCTAGCCTGCACAAGCTGCTTTTGTTGTGATGTTTCTGCTGCTTTGTTTTATTGTACACAATTAATAGTTTTAAAAAAAATCCCCACAGCCAGTCAATGCTTTAAGAGTAGCTACAATTTCAGTCAAGTAAGATTTTCTTTGGTTAACTACAGCCCTTGAAATCTGAGGGGTTTTTTTTAACACCTTTTAGAGCACTTTTGAGGAATCCAGTGTTCATATACCATTTATTGAAGTGTATGATTGTCAGTGTGTGTTGAGGCGCATTCAGTTTTCTTCATAATGTGCGTATTTTTGAATTTGTCAGTCAAAAGCTCAGCTGCAGAAACATACTTATCTAGGCGTCAAGAGGCTGTTTTTTTTTCAGTTTTTCTTCTCAGGATCCCTCCTTTTCTCTCACCTCTGTGTTGTGCTGGCTGACAGCATGTATAGACTGCGACATCACAACCATCATGCAGGTTAATTTCATGCCAGTCAGTGTGACATGGGCTAATAAAATCCTGTCACATTCCGATATCAGTTTGAGGCATATCAGATGGTGCAATGAATGTCTAGTGAATCATAGCAGTATGTTAAATAGGGAGAAAAAAAAACAGATGAAAGTAGAGAAATGTCATCAGCTTCTGTCTGAACATCAGCTTCTAATTAAACTGGTATCAGGCAAAGCAAATCCTTTTAATGTTATTTATGAAAGAAGCAAATGATACCTGGACGCTCCCTCGAGCAGATGTGTAGATTTAATCACACTGATTTTATCCAACAGCTCGGCTGAAAATGTAAAAAAAAAAAAGAAAAAAAGACCTATTTAGTTTCAAATCGGACACACGTTGGGTCAGAACACAGATGTGGTGTTAGCTTGGGAGTTCTCACCGGTGGGGATTGGTTGTCTTGGGTCATGCAAAGGAGTAACTTCCCTGTTCCACAAGTGTGCTGGTCGGCCTTTTCCCCTCCTCTGTCGCCTCGCAAGGAGCTCGTGATACTCCGCCCAGTTTCTGCACCGCCGAACCTTGAAGGAACTCAGAATGTGATTTCCCATCATGAATAATAAACAGGATGATTTCCAGGGTCATTTTTCACTGAGTTGCTACAAACCTCTTTGTCTTTGTTAACACTCCACCGCCGCCTGGAGTTGGATTTTTCCCTGCTCTTCTCCTTTGCGGACATCTTCACCTTCCTCAGGTTTATTTTCTTCCTCCAGGAGGCGACGTCACAGACTCCCACGGTCACATCACCCGGCAGAAGAGAGGGTTCTGGAGGGGCCAAGCAGCTGGGGCGCCGCTCACTGGAGCCGAGGTCAGGGAAAGGGATGGAGCTGAAGTCCCAGCGCGAGGATCTAGAGGTGGAGCTATAATGCAATTCTTTGTCCGAGTCCCCGAGGACATCCGTCGTCCACCAGGTCCTTCCGCTGCCTTCATCTGCTGCACTTGTCGTGGCAGTCTGGACGTCTGTAGTCTCTGGAGACGCAGCCAGTTTTTTATCCTCCTCACCTTCTAGGCAGCATTTATCCTCTTCCATTTTCTCAGAGGTGGGTTCCTCTTTCAACTTAGTATAACTACGGAAAGAACAAAAAATATTAGTGTATCTATCTGGTGTACTGGAAAACTCATCTGCATTATACACCCACTGAAAAAAAACATCTATTCAAACAGAATTTTAAAAAAAACTGAGTTGAACTAAGTAGTCTAGTCAATTAATCAATAAGTTCAGTGCCAGAAAATTAACCAGCAATTATGATAATCAGTCGCCTGCATGAAAGATTTCAGACGCATATCAATGAAGAATTTAAATAAAGAACAACATACATTATTATCAGAAAAAGAGAAAATGAAGAGGTGTATTATTGTGACCAGCAGAGAGCAGCATAGAGCTGCCAATACTTGGTTTTCATAGAGAGGTTTGAGGGAGCTATATACTGGTTTCTTGCTTTCTTTTTGTTGTTGAACAGTGAAAACTAATAGTTCTTATAATAAAATTATTTTTCTCTATTGAGCAGTAAGTGATTAGTAAAATTAAGTTTTGCTCCAAATCCCTCCTTGGACTAAATCATTAACACAGAATTTATATATTATATCTGTACATCAACCAGCTCTGACACATCATTGCATGAACTCCCCCCTGTTCTGTGGTATCAGGCACCAAGACATTCCCGGTAAATTCTTTAAGTCCTGGAAGTTGCGAGGTGGAGCCTCCGTGGATTGGATTTGTTTCCCGAAGATTGGCTTGATCAGACTGAGATCTGGGGCGTACGTGGTCTGCAGCAATATTTATGTATGTGCTTCAAAGCAACATTCATGTGAACCCGTGGACCCAAGGTTTCCCAGCAGAACATCACGCTGCCTCCAACGCCTTCTTCACACAGGGGATCCTGCGGCTAACTGCGGACAGTTCTGACACTGACATGCCCATTAGGTGCTTTTGTCAGTGGTCAATGGGCACTCTGACCCATCTGTAGTTTGTGCTACAGCAGATTGGACCACATGGACCAGCCTTCGCTCCACAAGTGCACCAATGAGGGCGTCCATGACTCTGTCCCTGGTTCACTGTTTGTCCTTCTTTAGACCACTTTTCGTAGGCACTTACCACTGCATACCATTCTGCTGATGGTCTGATGCAGTCATCACAATCTGAACCTCGTCAAAGTCACTCAGATAATTACAATGCCCATTTTTCCTGATTCCAACATATCAATTTCAAGGCAGTTGGCTTCACCTGGCTTTAATGTTGTGGCTGATCGGTGTACATACTGTGCAGTAAATAAATAAAAGTAGCAGCTCTGTTTACCTGCATGTTGGTGTGGGGCTGGGGCTGCGTTTCCTCTTAAGTTGTCTCCCTGCTCGGTCACGTGACTGAGGCAGGTTCAGCTGTCTGGCGTAGGAAGAAGGCTCACAACTGCAAGAGGTCAAACACATTCAGCTGATGTCAAACCTTATCCAAAACACTCAGTTACTAAGGATTTATTTGGGCAAGAGTATTTCTCTGAACTAAAGAGGGCTTGTTTTAATTGGTCATAGTAGGAAAAGCACAGGTGTAATGAATAAAATCCATTCCGCTGCTTCACTTTCAGGAACCTGGTGTTCACAATCACAGTATTTTGGCTTAATGGATCACTTGAACAACAAAGTCATTGTTAATACTATTGATGCACCTGTGCTTCCCCTTCAATTACAAGTGAAAAGGATTATTCGAATCACTACCTAAGCTAAACATTTATTTCTAACCACCCTGATGTGAAAAGAATCTCACTGGCAACTTAGATGCGGCTCATTTACAGAACTTTGGTGTCCATTCAAGTGATGGTTTATTCTCTGCACTAATTCGATGACAATGGTGTGACACATTTATTCACTGCTCTTCCCAGTAACTCTTTGTGTATTTACCACTGTGCTGCTGTCGTCATCATATGAGGTTTAAATTGACGCAATATAGATGCAATTCAAGCATGTACTTTTAGTTCGAATTCAAGGGCTTTAACAAAAATACTGCGTTAACCTCTTAGGAATTACAGCTAGTTTTTACATAGTCCCTCCATTTTCACAGACTCAAAAGTAATGGGACAAACTGACATAATTTAAATATACAAATCATTCTGAACACTTAAATGTAAATAGTTTGCAGTCAATGACTCCCTGAAATCTGGAATGGGCTTCATCATCTGTTGAACTTCCTCTAATGAGATACTCTGCCAGGCCTTTGCTGCATCTGCCTTCAGAAGCTGCTTGTTTGTGGGTCTTTCTGCTTTCAGATTTGTCTTCAGAAATGAAAAGCTGCTCAGTTGGGTTGAGGTCAGGTAACTGACTCGGCTAATTCTTTGCCTTAAGTGTTGGGTTGCCTCCTGGAATATTTTGGGTCATTATCACCTGTCCTACTTCTATCGACAGTCACATCGTCATCAGTAAACACGATGCCTGTGTCATAATATTATCCCCATCATGATGATGTGGTGTACTTTAGATTAATGAACTTTTCCTTTCTTTCTCCATACTATTCTTTCTTTATGACAAATTGTTGTTTTGGCCACTCTCAAAGTTTCTGCTCTCTCTCTCTTAAAAGTGTTTTGTTTGGTCTACTTCACTTGCATTGAAACCTCTAGGATTGCATCTTGAGAGTTCCAATGAACAGCTACCAAATGCAATTCAACACCTGGAATCAACTCCAGACCTTTTATCTATTTAATTTGCCATGACAAAACAAGGACACCATGAACCGGCTTATCATTCACTTATTCACCTGCTTTTGAGCCTATGAAAATGAAGGGACTATGAAAAATGTAATTTCTAAACACTTAATGCAAAATTTTTGTTAAACTCTTTGAATTAAATCTGAAAGTCTACACTTCAATCACACCTTGACTGCTTCATTTAAAACCCACTATGGTTGCACATCCAGGCACAATTCTACAATTCAAAATCTGTGACAGTACAAATACTTTAGGGCACAACTGTATAGTTTTAGTCATTTTAATCCTGTCTGAATGAGACATTAAAGTTCTTCTACCTGGGATCAAATCTGTGCACGACATAGCCAAGTCTCTTCAAATGTCCAAACACCTTTGTGATGAAACAGAGTTGTTAGACCAGTTTAGTACCGTGTTCCACATTCAGAATATGCACTGGACAGTTAGTTGCACCTGATATTGTTGGAGGCTCACTGTGGTTGAGGACAGAAATCTCTCAAACCCATCCTGAATGGAAAGCGGCAGGTCCTTGTAAAACACCTGCAGGTTTCCCTGTTCACATACATACATTCACACTCAGAGATGTCACATATGTCAATAGTTTTCGAATCACATGTGTTGCAGCATGACTCCCTAACTGTTCAATAAATACAGTTGAATGAACTGAATTAATGAAGATTACTAAGCCACACCCTGACCAACAGGTTTCATCTGCCACTCACACACTCCATCAGGTAGAGAGCCTCTTCAGGAAGGACATACTGTTTGCCATTTGCAGAAAAGCCCATCGTCTGCCAGAACTTTCCCTGAAGAAAATTAAAATTTATGAGATATGCCAAACATTCTCTAACAAGAGCGGATGGAGGAAGCAGAACTGAAGCCATCAGCTTGTCGCCGAGTGTGTCGTGACAGTACTCACAGCTGGAGACTGAAGCTCCACAATCTGGTCACTTGGAATCCATATGGCCTTCACCAGGTTTCCTCTGCAGTAAAATAGTATATTAATATACATGCTTTACTTTATTGGCAAAGCATACAATAAAATACAAAAAAAAAAACATACTTTCGGCACCCAAGTGTGGAAAATGTCCACAACAAGCCAACAAACACAGAGCCCTGACACATTATCACCTTCTACAGATATTATGACAAACAGGGTTGTAAATGGTGGTGTAACATTAGAAGGTGTTTGAGGTGGTTTTACTGACAATATTCACGCTCCTTTTAGATCCGGTTTGCTAAATGGTCAACTTTCTTTAATGGCTAGTTGTTAACTTTGTCTGCGGTCTGGCTGAGAGCTTATTTTATGAGACAGCTGCTGGAAACAGGGTTGATGAGAGCGCTGAGGGCGTGCTATAAAACCAAAACTATGAGCTCACACAGGTAACAACTTTCTAAAGCTAAAGGACTTAATGATGATTCTTCATTCTGTCTCATCTTAAGTGAGAACCAGAGCTTTAAAGTGTCCTACTTTCATGGATAAGAATGTCATATCTGCAAAAATCGCGTTGTTGAAAGGTTATTCACTTCAACAAACAAAATTTTACGAATGAAAGTCTTCAAGAATGTAAATGACACATAAATGTTTGCATAGTCTGTAAAATGCATGACCACTTTTCATGTATTTTACTGGATTTAAAATCTGTTTACAGAAATGTAGAAGACATGCTGAAGACACCTAATACTATCTATGATAGTGCATGTTTAGCGACCTTCATTTTTGTACAAAACTACAAAATAATGATGTTGTAATACCGTGGCTGCTTTGGAATCTCTCCCTTGACTGTGCATTGAAGGACAGCCAGACAAACACAAATATTTCAAAGCTGAACAAACACACAGATCCCGATGACATTTGCACAGAATTGTGTCCACTTGTTGTTTGTTACACATTTCAGCAGCCCATAGCAGATTCTCATACAGCCAAATATTTCTGCTTGCATCACTAAGGACAGATTATCAGTGGGGTTTGGAGGATAGCGGGACACAAGGTCTACTCACAGCCTTTCCACTCTCTCCTCTGATATGAGGCTCCAGTGTTCATTCAGACTTTGCTCAAGCCGCTGTCTTTGCTCATCTGAATCATTGGGAAAGAAGTCCTTCTGTCCTCTGATTGGGATCTTGTGACTTCTGGACCGGGCTGCAAACAGCTCAGATGGACTGTAATTTAAAGAAAGAAACACTTAGCTCCAGGTAGATTATTGCAGTAAAGACAGGCGAGACACATTGTTTTAAATGAAGCTGTTTGGAGTTGATGTAGAGATTGTCAGACATCTGAAATAAGAAAATCAACACAATATGAACAGCAAAAGATCAAGGTTTTATATCAAGACTTATCAAGCCTGAATATGTTACATGTATCAGTGATGGATAACATTGCACAGCAACAGTTGTTTTTGGAGAACACAAAAGAAGAGTTTTAATCAGTTACATTGTCCCAAAACTGAATTAACTAATATCAGCTTACTTAACAGCTTACCAGTATCTGCAATTTTAAAAACATACCACATCAACATAAGAAGAGAGGAATTAGAGAAGAGCACATTTTCAAGGATCTGATACACAGTAGGGAAGAAATGAAAGACGGAGTCATGAGCTCAGCTGTTGGTTTTTCTTATACTCTTAACAACAGCAAGATAATTGACTTATTAAAAGAGACCTGCGACCTGTGGCACTTTTCATGTCCCAAAAGGACTCAAGACTAGAACACCATTAAACATGGAGTAAGTTCAAAATACACAAAATTGAGTGATAAAGACTTTATGAGGGAAAGAGCTTTTAGGTAAGAATAGTGTGTGCAGAAATTTTAACATATGGGAGAAAAACTGCATCCTAATTTGTTGTTTTCAAGATTAAAAACACAGGTTTCACAGTTTGTTGCATGTTCACTGCCTTGGCAGTTCTGTAAATAAAGAATATAATAGTTATGAAGGGCAGATGAACACAATGCCTTGTGATCATGAGTCATAATGTCATGACTCAGTGCCATGGCATCTAATCCAGACTGGTTCGAATTATTTTTAGGAAAAAAAAAGAAAAGAAAAAAAAAAACACGCAATGAGACAATAATGCTCTGCCTGTGCACAAAAAAACAAAAAAACAATTCGATACGACCCAAACTTTAGGGAGCAAATTCAAATCCATCCAAACTCCATTTACTCCAAATAATTTCTTCACTACTGCTCTTCTCATTCCCACAACTGCGTTTCACCAAAACACACAAGGGAGGGTGACAGAGAGTCAAGTACAATTATTCATTAAACGTGTCAACATAATATTTCCATCACTACCACATCTCTAGATAATCTCCAGAGCAGCTTTACATGTGTGTTACTGACAAGTGTCGGGATGTTTTCGGTGTATCAGAACTTCATAAGTGAGCTAAGTTAGCGTTAAATACGCCTCCCCCGCCATGTGCACATCCGTCTGAGAGCTCCCGTAGCAGTAAAGTTGAGACAAACAGCCACTGAGGCAGGGGGGGGATGATACAAATGCTGCAAAAATGCCAGTAAAATACGTACTTAAAGTCAATAAAGGCAAAACGCACCTTAAAATTTCATTGAATAACTTCCTCTCGGTGTCTGGCTTGTTTTGGTCCGCCATGATGACTGCCTGCAGCGGCAGCACTCCTCCGGGTCCTAGTGCCTGCCTCTTAAGAGTGCATCCGCGATAGGACCAGGCGGGGGTGGCACAAGCCATCTCACCGATTTCAATGAAACTTTGCCAGTTTAAAGGGGTCCACCCAAAACTGCTTCAGTCTGAGTTTAAGGAAATTTGG